CATAAGGCCCTTTTGTATCTGTGGGTGAGTTGTGCTGATTGCAGCCTGCTCCAGCTGCTGTGTCATGGCCAGGAAGCGAGACAGCAGCTTGGGATGGGCCACAGCTTTGTCTTCTCCCCCCACCCTGTGACTCAGCCGATAGCCAAATCCCTGCGTGGTTCCATGACTCATGTTTGCTCACCCGGCGCCTGGAGTACCACATAGCCCTGTCACCCGGGGCGAACATCACCGCAGAACAATGGATCCCCTTGCACGCCCTGTCTGCGAAAGGGAGTCCTGCCGGCAGATGACTGTCCCCGCAGGTCTGCAGCCCATCCCTCCTGCTCCTGAGACACAGATGCACCAAAGGGGCAGGGACCAACCCAGAGCTATAGTTGGGCCCTGGGTGTCTGAGGAAGCCAGGTCTCTTTTTCAAAGGCCATTTGAAAGTCACCAGAGCTTGGGCCCATTTAAAAATGTTACCCCTCGCCTACCTAAGGGGAAATGCCCTGGTTGCAATGTCAGCCAGCACTAGCACAAGATTTAGTGAAGCTGAACAAAGCTGCTCTCGGCACTGCTGGAGCCGTTCCTGTTTGAAGCCGAGGCAGGCAGCCCCTATGTGACGTATAGGGTCTGGCAGATGTGCACAGCTGCTGCAGGGACCCAAGTTCTTAGTGGCTGTAAATCAGTGGACTTACACCAGCTGAGGGCTCTGCCCTGTGGGGTAGAGTGGCATTGTAGCTACTTGAGAGCCAGGTCTGGCTGACTAGGCTCCTGCCCTGGCCTTGCAGCCTGTAGACAGAGAAACAAAGGCAACGTGCTTTTCAGATTGAAGCTGGAGTTCACAACGGTGCCTAAGGACATTGGGTGTTCACGGTTGGATTTTCCAAGGCACTGAGGGAAGCATCACAGGCTTCTTCAGCGAGACTCGTGTGCCTCTCTCCCTTACACGCTTTTCAGAACTGCCTTCCCGACACCAGATTCCTATAAACTGCTTTGAAAATCCCACCTGGTGTCCTTCCAGGCACGACACTCAGCAGCTGGTTTTGGTAATGCAAAAAGGGACGTTGATTTTCATCATTTTCATCTTGACAGTGACCCTGTTGAAATCATACTTACTGGTGCTTCTGCCTTTGCCACTAGAACAATGGTTTGACTTCAAACACCAATAGGCCACGAGTTAGCAGTTAATAGTTTCCCCTCCAGAAGATTAGCGCTCTGACTCAATACATCGTGTAGGTTTCAGGGATCCCAAAGTATCGGACAAAAAGCAAACTCCAGGTTGTCTTCGCCTAAGAAAGCATATGAAGTGCTTCAGTATCCCTTCTAAGCCTTTTGAATGTCCTGTTTCGTTTATGCTGTTAGAAACCCTTTAGGGTATGGACTGTCACTTTTTCTAACGTGCAGCACCTAGCACTGGGAGGCTTTGATCTCAGCTGGGCATCTAGGAGCTGCAGATCAACAGCACTCTCCACTCTGAGCATAAAGGCTACAGGGAGTTAAACTAAATGCTCTGATACGGGATGAGCCTAAACGTCCCCGAGATACCTACTAGAGAGAGAGCAATCTCCTGTCCAGTTGTCTCACATTTCTTTACTGGTTGCTCTGTTGTTTTGCTGGATACTAAAGGGCTTTATGGGTGTAGAAACAAATAACCCTTATCCCTCCACTGACCACCTGAGTCCTGCCGAGCCTCCCTTGAAACGGAAACTCTCGGTGTCCTAATTGCCTCGCTCTGACTGCAGATCCCAGCGATGGCTGTTTGGGCACTTGCGTCCATTGAGCCACCATTGCAGTCCATATACTTACGTCAGACCACTTTCAGTCCAGCCCTGATACCCCTCTCCCACCAGACGTGGCTTGCAGCAGTTTGCCAACCTCCACCTCTCGCATAGCTGAAAATGGCATGAGTTGTTATAAATGTGTGCAGGCAGTGGGAGGCTGCCTGATTTCCTGCGGAGGGGAGCGCCACTGCCTTGCTGCATCTGTGCGAGAACCTGGCTGGATGCCTAGCTGAAGAAACACGACCTTTGCCATATCATTTTGTGATTATACTGACCATGAATTTCATAGAAGGGTCCCCCTTTTCTGTTCTTCGGAGCCAGCATAAATAGCAGCAGTGGGACACGCTTAGGATTATGCCAGGTCACCATCCCCAAAGTAAACATTTGCACCTCTCAGTCATTTATACCCCAAGTGGTCCCCGTAAAGAGGGAGAACCTGGAATTCAGCTTTTCCAAGGCATTTTCTTCTAGCCTTTGCTTAATAGGTTCATTGGAGCCCAAATGGCTCATCCATCCATGCAGTAAACAGCCTGGAAGGAAAACCTCATCACAAGCAGCTTTGTGCATTTCAAGCTATTGTTCTGTGGTTAGTACCACAAAAAAATGAAGATTGATTTCACATTGATGAAAATGCTTCATTTAAAATCATGCCCTTCCCTGTGTACCAGCAACAGCTGAGTTTGATGATACTGAATTAATTAGTATTAAAAAAAAAAAAAATAATAATGTGTTCTCCAGCACTGGTGCGGCTTGTGTATGTTCATGTTTTGCAAAAAGTCACCCAAGTGGGACAGTGAAACTGGATTCACTTTATAAGCCTAGTCCCACTGCCTATACCGGGGTTCTCAACTTTTTTGGACTCGAGGCAGCTCTCGTTAGGCTTGAGGCACCCTCCATAACGTTTGTGACTCGAATGGCACCCAGTTTCAACAACCGGATTTATACATTACAGTGCTTACTCCTTGCAGTGGGGGTAGGAGGTTGTCCAGGAAGGGGCAAGCCTGAGCATGGCTTCTTTGCTTAGTTTTTCTGGTTATCTCCTTGCACCTTGAGGCACCCTCCAAAAGATCTGGTGGCACCCTAGCGTATCCCAGGACCCTGACTGAGAATCACCAGCCTATACCTATGCTTAAACAACATGCTTGAACTATATACCCTGCCACAAAACGTGGTGGTGTGCCGGGTGGTGGACTCTGTTCCAGTCTCAGAAGCAGCCGGCATGCTGGCAAGGAGCCCGTTGGAGCTTTTCACTTCTTGGTTTCCCCCGCTGGGGGCACTGACCAGGTGTGGGTTGGAGACACGGCACGGGCAAGATTTTTACATCAACCCCAAAGCCCTGATCCCACGACTTTGCAGTTATCTTCACTGGGAAACCCATGTCTGCTCACAGGCAGCTTGGTAAAGGCGCTTTGAGGCTGAGTCCCCGATTGCAAACAGTACTTAAGCCCAGGCTTGTCTGTAAGTGTGATTGCGTCCGTTGAGCTAGGTAATCATGATCAAGCTTCTTGCACAGGGTGGGGAAGAACAGTCTAATCCTGTGGGAAGACTTGAGCTCCTTGGATGCAGTCAAGGGGCAGTGGGCGCTAGCTGGAGTTCTCCGCTTGGTGTCCTCCCTTGGCAGCCTAGCCTGTAACTTGAAATCCTGTTCCCATTTTCTTGTGATTTGTTCTACAGAATGAGTTGCTGCACATGCCGTGGTGGCCTCCCTCTAGTGATTGAGGGTGGCCTGTCATCGTATAACAAGTTGGCCTGTCTCAGTAAACTCTGCTTTCCTCCTGTCTTGGGTGGCAAGTGGTGTCACGTGGGGTTTAACGTGCTCGCGGGTTCCCCTGCAGCCTGCCTGCTCCCTGCTGCGTCTCAGTCTCACCCCGATCCATCTCCAAATGTTCCCGAGCAGCTGCTCTGGTTTTTACCTGTGTCACAGCCTGACATGTTTTTTTAATAGAGAAAGTGTCTCCCGATAGAGCAGACAGGGTATTTTAGTCCCCCCTTTCCTGTCTGCCTGGCTTCAGCCAAGATAATGAGATGGTATTAAAGAGCAGCTTCTTTGAAGAAGAGAGGGCTAGACAGGGGTTACAGCAGGGGAGCTTGGAATCGGGACACCTGGGTTCGTTTTCCTGCCTCACCACTGGCGTTCGCTGAGACCTGGGACAAATCACTTGTGCCCTCATTTTACGTGTCTGAAAACCAAGGGCATAAGGCCCACGTACATCATCGGTGTTGGGAGGGTTAGCAAATGCTTTTCAGATGGTCTAAAATCCTCTACTGAAAGATGCTACGGAGCTGCAAAGCATTGTTCTGCCAACTGTGCCTAAGTGGGGCTCTGACTCGGAGATTTATGCCTCGCGTATGACCTGCCTTAAAACTGCTATAACAATATTTTATTTTAATCTAGTAGCTGTTGTCCTCTAGTTCCTTAATATCGCTAAAAAGGAAGTCCCCCTTCTGACAGGCAGACATTAAAAACAACCTCTGGCAGCAGCTGTTCATTGTTTGTGCAGGGCCGACACCAGCAGGCCCCAAAGTTTTTCTGTCTCCTGCTCCCTTCCTTTGGTGTTCAGCAGCAAATAGTGTGTTGTCAGCATGCATGACACAGGGCACAAAGTATGCAGGGTCTTTCCCAGCCCAGCTCCAACATCCCTAGGAGAGACTGGGACAAGGAATTGGTGCCTTCCAGCAGGAAAAGGCCCCGCTCAGAGATGAAAGATGCCCTCATCTTAGAAGGTGAAATAATTCAAAGGAAAATGTACAGTAATGCCAAATGTTTGTGAGTATGTATGGGTGATGGTATCGCGATGGGACGCTGCAGCTTCTTACCTGAGTGAGGAGAATGGTCTCTTCTTTCTCAGTCCAGATGGGACCAGATGTTCTGTCCTGGGTTTGCTTGCTTTGCTGTTTCATTCATGACATACCAGGGCCATGTGACCAGACTTTCAGAAGTAAGGAGCAGCCACGTACCCAGCTCGAGGTGCCCTCACTGGGCCCAAATCTCATGACTCACTTCGCCCTTCCTGGAAACTGGGGCTCTTTGCAATGTCTTGAACTGGACGGCCAAATCAGTGCTTGCTTTTGCAAGCCTTGTCCTTGGTGCCTTGGGCGTCCCCTTACACAGGGGCGTCAGGAGGTGGGAGCAAAGTCCTCTGAACAAGAGGAGGAGGTGGTGCCATGCTTCTAGACCGTGCGGCCTTTGCAAGCGTGTAGCGCTCATCTCTTTCTTTTACTTTCCCCCCCATGCAGAGACGTGTGCCGTGAACAATGGAGGCTGCGAGAACAAATGCCAAGATGCAGCCACAGGCGTGCAGTGCAGCTGTCCCATGGGCTTCACTCTCCAGGTCGACCGGAAAACATGCAAAGGCAAGTGGCCAGCAAGGGAGGACCTGGTGTTTTCAGGGAAGGTAGGGGCTTGGTAGCTGTCCCACCGGGGGATCTCTGCTAAGAGCAATTTGATTTTATACATTATGGGGCAAATTCAGCTCCAGCAACAGCAGCCCATGCTCCCTGGGGCTCGGACAGGACGTGCTGGTTATGGCAGGCTGGAATCTCCTAAGGAACAGCTCTTTCATCTCCTCCCATAGTCACTCCTTATAGCCCCATCTGCCATTGGTAAGCACCTAAATACCTTTGTGGAGCTGACCCCATGGCAGCACCCACTCTGATAGACCAGTAGGCTCTAACCCGCATTGAGGCCCCTGCCTGGATTGTCTGTTGTGCAGCGTGGAAGATGAAAGTCGATTCACCTGCAAAAAGGAAGAAGCTCTGTCCCAGCTGCTATCCCCACATCCACCTGGGAAGATGTGCTACACAGAGGAGTTGGGAGCCATGATCCCGGGACCTGCCCAGCTCAGTGGGGCATATCAGGGCATGTGCAGGTCTGACCACGTCACCGTGGGGGAACTTCAATCAGGAGTCCGCGTGCGGCCATACAGCAGTGAGAGATCTCCAGGGCACGTTGCTGCTCAGTCCCCTGGGGCAGCTTTGGGCACTGTGGTCTATGTGTGTTAACTCACAGGGAAAGGAAAATCCCACTTCCCAGCCCCCCACCCTGACTCAGCCCATCCCTTAGCCCTGTTGTTTCAGTCCCTTCAGAATCCGTGGTTGTAGCTGGATCATTAAAGCCGCAAGGGTCAGCCCTGTTCCTTGTGAGAGAGGTTCAGCTGTGAGGCAACAGTGCGGCTGGGCAGCCCAAGCACTGCACGAGTCATAGATTCGTAGTTGTTAGGGGCTGGAAGGGACCTTACAAGACCATCGGGTCCAGCCCTCCTGCACTTGGGCAGAAAAGGCTGCTGGGCTCGGATGACCCCGGCAAGGTGGGCATCAAGATGCTTTTTGAAGATTGCCAGGGTGGGTGACTGTGCCACCTCTGGGGAAGAGTCTGTTCCAGAACCTCAGCACTCGACTTGTAAAGAAGTTTTCTCTTATGTCCAACCTGACCCGTCTGTCGGTCCGAACCTGGGCTCCTTCGCTCCACTCCGAGCTCTGACAGCGCCACCCTGCTGGGCCTGCCTCAGTTTCTGGATTTGGAAAATGAGGTTGAAACCTCCCAGCAGAAACTTCAACCAGGCAAGATGTGCTGGTGCAGTGTAGGAAAGGATGGTCTTGTGATGAAAGCACGGGACTGGGAGCTAGGAATTCTAGGTTCAGCTTTGATTTCTACTTTAGTCTTCTTGCAAGGCCTTGGGTGGGTCACATCCCTGGTTTGGAAGCCTGCCTTAGGTTCCTATTATTATGGCAAGTGGTAATGGTTCATCTCTCATGTCTTGCTGTCAAGTGAATGGGCCCATTGTCCTGATCCTGCACAGGGTCAAAATGGAATTAACATTTGCCAAGTGCTTTGAGGCCCTTAGATAGCAGCTTTATAGGCATGTGGGTTATTAATGTGGACTCTGCGTACTGCCTGGGCAGCATGGGCCTGACTGTGTTGCTTAAGCTATAGAAGGGAAGGTTGTTCTGGCTGAGGATTTACTTTCAGCTGGGTTGAGAATGGAATGGGAATGGAAGCCTGTTCCCAGGCAGTTTTCACCCATGAAATTGTCATATATGACATGAGTTGTAGGCGCACATACCTGGCTCCTTGTTCTGTAATTGAAAGGAAATCCCATTTACATGGCTGCCAGTCCTTTGGCTTTGAATTTAGCCCATTCACTATAGTAATTCTAGGAAGAGAAAGGAGAATTTGGGAATTTGAGAGTTACACCTACCTAAACGCGTGTGTGTGTGGGGACGTGTGCGCAAGTGAAAAAGATCCAGTAACACACGCGTGCGCGCACACGCGCATACATGCTCACACGTGCACGCGTTTGGAGTTCCAGATACAGCTGCTTTGTGTGCCATCCCTTCAAGGGGAGACCTTTGACCCAGGCAGCCCCCTTGAGAGAAGGTGGAACTCCAGAAATGGAAGGCGCCTGCGTTCTGTCTTTTGGCAGCTCCGGGAACTTGACCTTAGTTGAAAGGAAAGCACCATTCAGCTGAAAGCCGTCTACCTGCCTGACTGATTCCAGACGCTCTCTGCTTCGTTATTATTTTTCAGAGTGCACCACCTCTACCATTCTGCAGTTCCAGGAAAGCATAATAACCTGGAGCCATATCCCCTGTGTCTGGGATTTTATTACAATTGCGAGCTGTTTTACAGCTAGTTCACTTGCAATAATAAAAGAAAAGCCATAACCCCAGAGAGCTGCAGCTGTCGTCCTGGAGCTGATGAGCTGGGGGTGGGTGTGGGGGAGAAGCTTTGGGAAAAGTCTGCCTGAACTCCTTCCTGGGATTTGTCAGCCTGGCCTTGTTCTGTTTCATAGGCTGTTTCCTAGTAGTAAATATTCTGTCTCGGACGGGGCAACCCACCTCACCACCAGCCTCTTAACAGGCTAGAGAAGCTCTCTGGAAATGCGGGAGATGATTTGCATCTTAGTCACTTATTGCACAAAAGGCCAAGTAAAAGGTTTAGGAGAGCCTCTATTTGTTTTGTACAGCTACTGTCCTTGGAAGGTCACTCCCCACCCAGGGTCGTTCCTTCTTTCTGTCTCTCTCTCCCTTTCCCTCACCCTTCCTTCCTTCCTTCCTCTCCCTAATGATCACATTCCCAAGGTGCCCATAACCCTCACCCCGACTTGTCACTTCACAGAGCCTTGTGTCTCTGGTGTAACACATGCTCTACCCAGGGGACGTGAAAATGCTTTGCCAATGTTAACCTTTCTCCTACCCCTGTGGTGGACGTGTGCATTAGAGCCCTCCTTTTACAGACTGGGAGGCTGATGCAAAAGGAGGGTGAACTGCCTCACCTAAGGTCATGATGAAGCAAGTCAGAGGCAGGAATGGAAGAAGAGCCCAGGAGCCCTGGCTCTCTGCACTAGCCGCTGGACCACCTGCTCTTGCGCTAGTCCTCAACACAAGGCTTGTGGCCAGCTTGGGGCCCACAAGACCCTCGGAGGTCGTGCTTGGCCACGGGAAACTTTGCATTTCTTTGGGTGGATGGGGAGAGCTCAGTCTGACATTGGCTGCAGCATGTCACTTGCTCCAAAGCATTTTGCACTGGGACCACCAAGCAGCTGCTGCTTGGCAAACCTAAGTATACTCCTCATGTCCTGTAAGTCCCCCACCCCTGTACCCCCAGGAATCAGTAGCAAAAGTCCCATTTACTTCAGCAATACAGGATCAGGCATAAACGTCTGCCTCTCCTAGATAGTTATTCTGCCGTCCCCTTTATCATAGTGTGTCCTGGTACCTCACACCCACCTGAGAGGCAGCACAGGTCTGTTATCCCCTTTGTACAGATGGGGAACTAAGGTTCGTAGAGATTTGGGGCATGGACAGAGGAACAAAGTGTAGCAAGAGATAAGGAGGTGGGAACTCACTACATATCAGTTGCTCTGTGTTACTCACTCTTACCCCATGGCAAGTGAAAGCTCAACCTGGGGCCTCAGGGGTCCTCAGCTTCATGCTTCGTCCTCTGGACAAGTGATGCCGTTACCGAACGCCACCCCCACACCTCCCTCAATCGGTCATTGCAAGTGACCGCTCTAGCTTGGTCGCTGGCAAGGGGTAATAGGCCCCAGTGTCATATTCTCCCTCCCCTCTCACAGATATCGATGAGTGTGGGCAGAACAACGGCGGCTGTGACCACATCTGCAGGAACACGGTGGGCAGCTTTGAGTGCAGCTGCAGGAAAGGTTACAAGCTGCTGATCAACGAAAGGACCTGTCAAGGTAAGAGCCATGCCGGAGCTGGGCCATCGGAGGTGGCAGCCGAGGCAAGTTCTGTTATGGCTGTGGGCCCTTTTCACAGATTGACACATGAGCCTCAAGGACAGCAAACTACAGAGGGTCCCCAGGAAACCACAGACCTCCAAGGGTGACACGGTGTAGATTAGCCCTTCCCAGTTTAGGGGCTGTGACTCCAAGTGGGCTCACAGTAGTGATGAGCGGGGTTGCGCGAAGGGCTTTGTCTGAGCAGAGTTGACCAGAACTGGGGCCAGAGGTGCTTGACCACCCTGTGTTCCCCTCGGCAGGGGTGAGCGGTGGTGCAAGTCCTCCATTGTTCTCATGGCAGCTGCCAGGGGCTGGGCACTTTTGGGCTGGCCCAGCGCTGAGTGTTGTGTGCTTACAGATCTGGCCAGAGAGGACTCCTTTAGTCACAAGGTTTTTATCCCACTGCCCTGGCCAGCTGGCTCCAAGCAGCTCCCATGCAGCTGGGCAAGGGGTGGGCCCCACTGCCCAGCCCCCAGAATTAGTTGCCGCTGAAGTCCCTCCACAGCTCCCGCCCGGCATAAGCAGCAGGGCAGGGGGTGTGTGAAACTCCCCCCTGACCACAGTGCTCTGGGTGGTCACTCACACCACCCACCTCTAGGGCTGGCTCTGTTCACACGATGCGGCAAATAGCAGCACACGTATAAAACGTGTACACACACACACACAGCCATGCTGTGCACTTTCATCCCTCTGTAGGCATTCTTGCTGACACACACACAGGCATGCGTTCTGCGTGGGTGATGTGCATGTTGAACTCCAGGGCTCTGGCGACATTCCCCTAACCCTGTGCTGTCGGGATGGCCTGCAAACCCAGAAGGACATGCAGCCCCATTCACAACTTAGCACGCAGATTAACACTCAGACACGTAACTGCTTTTACAGACCATTCGAGCTGTTTATTGCACTAGGCCTTTGCAGGGGATGTGGGGAGAGAGCAACGTGAACTCTGTGGCTCATATTCACACACACCACCTAGTTTCTTGCTTCTCTTGAGAGGCAGTTGGAGGTGAACTGAGGTTTGCAAAAGCTTGTGCTCTTCCTATATACATTTTATTAGTTAGTCTGTAAAGGTGCAAATCTTCCTGCCTTCTGACATGCCTCTTAGGACCATTCATGGGGGTCACAGAACCTCCCTATTTCACCCTGTTCCCTAGAAGATGCCCCTACTGAGTGGGAAGACATGGGGGGAGGGGGCTGCTGAGGCCCACTCTGGGGTTTCAATGTGGTTTGTCACTGCTTATTTTCACCGTGGGCTTCAGAGACAAGGCAGGGGCAGGGGTGGGACCTCAGGCCCAGACCAGGCAATCCTGGAACAGTATCTGTCCTACCACTGCCTTCTATCTCCTGTGAGCACCTGCACCTGGATCAGCCAGCTGGGACAGGGATGGTGCACAGAGGGAAGAGAAGGGAGGCAGCCTCTTGTTTCATGGCTGGCATAGGTGACACAGAGCACGGACTCCTGGTTTTCTATTCCCAGCTCACCTATGGGCTTGTTTCTCTCTGCCTCCCTGCACCTGCATTACCCTGGGTGGAGGGAGGAGGCTGGAGCTTTGTGATCCTTGTATTTGAGTCCCCTTGGTGCACCCAGCGCTACAAGGCCATAAGGGCCAGTCCCTGCAGAGCCCTGGTGTGAGCCAGGCCAAGCACTGAGGCCCTCCTGCTTCCCTGGGCCAACATCTGCAGGCAGGACTGGCAGGGATGTGAGGTGGTACAGATCTGGTATCTGGGGCACGCAGCCAGCCCTGGGCAAGGGGTAGATGTGCCTTCCGGCTCTGATCCCTTTCATCTCTGTCCAGGTTCTGCCTTCTTGGAAGTTTTACACGATCGTGGCAATTAAGTTAATGACACCAATAAATTAAAAGAACCCCTTGGGCTGGGTTTACCCCCCAAACTGCGCATCCTGGGGTAGAGGAGATGGAGCTGGCACTTCTGGCACCAGGGGGCCCTGCCAAGAGAGTGTGCTTTCCCAGTAGTGCATGGGCTGGCCATGCAGCCTGGGGAGTTTGGAGCTGCCTTGCCCCTTCTTGCATCCCATGGCAGGACCTGCCCTGCTGGGGCCCTGACATGCTGGGATTTAACTCTGTGCCTTGCAAACAACTTGCAAAGTGGGGCAGCACAACGAGCCCAGAAGCTGCTCACCATGCTAACCTGCCCCCTTCTAGTGGTCTGGTTGGGGCTCAGAGAGGCTAAAGAGCCTGTTCCTGCCTTTGGAGGCTCTTGCTTTAAGATCCAGAGGTCCCAGGTTTGGTTCCAGCTGCTGCCAAATCTGTACCCAAGGGTTCAGTGTCACAGAGGCTCAGGGAACTGTGCTGGGACAAGGAAGGGGTTGCTCTGCTCCCCTGTCATGCTCAAATTAATGGGGCAGGTGTTGCTGCAGACAGGATTGTGCTGGGTGTCTGGTCAGGGCACCCTTGTGAGCATGGGATTGGTACCAGCCTTCCTGGGGGACACTGGAGATGAGCAGCAGAGGAATCAAGGCCCCCAAGTGTCTGCTGCATCACAGGGCTTGTTACCCCCATAGAGCAGACCCTCTGGTTGAGCTCTGTGCCTTTCTGCTCTCCCCCCAGACATCGATGAGTGCTCCTTTGACAGGACCTGCGACCACGTCTGCATCAACACACCGGGGAGCTTCCACTGCCTCTGCCACACAGGCTACACGCTGTATGGAGTTACCCACTGCGGAGGTACGGGGGAGCTTACTGGGAGGAAGCCAGGGGGAGGTGGTGTTTATGCATCCCTCTCTTCCTTTGCATTTCCTGCACAGCCTCTAGTCCTCCGGTTGCACTGAGCTTGTGGGTGTCCTGAGCAACCAAACCAAGCTTGTGGCTAGCAGAGGTTGGTTAGACTGGGGGTGCTCTCAGAAGTTCCCAAAGTCGCCTGTTGGACTTAGAGCAGAGTCAGTCACCAATTGCTTTCCCATTTACCAGCTTCCTAGCCCCAGGATCCACTCAGTATGGGAACTATCTCCCTAGGGCTAGGGCTAGGAGCCCTGTGGCTTGTGCAGGCTAAGATTGGCAGATCCCTGGAGAATAGTCTGTAAGGGACAGACCTGCCTGGTTTGCTAGGAAGGGAAAAGGAGGAGCTGAGAGCTATATGGAGCCTGCTGGGGTATGCCCAGCTTTACTCGGTCTGATTCCAGACAGCTCCGGGTTTGCTGTGAAAGAGCTTTGGATTCAGGAAAAGCTGTGAACATGCATTCAAAACCGCAGGCATCCTGGAGGGTCAGAGCCTTCCTGCTCCAGGGAGAAGTGGGTTTCTCATTCCCTGGAATAGAAAGGAGGTGCCTCTGGAGGCATGGGACCCCAGAGCTGGTCCCCGGGGGTATTACATTCAAGAAGCTGGTGCTGGCCATCCCATCAGAGACGGGCTAGATGGACCTGCAGGCCGATCCAGTTATTCGGGTCCTTTGCTCCTTGTGAGGGATAAACACCTGCTGCGCTGTAGATGTGGATTTGTGGGGGGTGTTCAGCTCTGAAACTGGAGATTAGCAGGCCAGTAATCTGAAAGGCCTGGGGGAGGTCATGGCCAGGAGCTAGCCCGTATACCCCTCCAGAAGGGGAGAGGATAGCAGGGGGGCTGCTGGATGCAAATACTGGGATCCCCTCCCTGCAGCTGAAGGCCCAGGGTCCCGATCCTCTCAGGCATTCAGGCTGCTGCTTCCTTGGCCAGGCCTTCCAGTAGGCAGAGGGCCAGCTGCTACTGCCCAATAGCTTCCATGCAAACCCCATGCTCCCTCACCTCCTGGGACCGGCAGAAGCAAAGTAGCAAGAGGGGACCCCCGTCTTCTTGACCACTTCTGCATAGTGGGAGACACTGCTCCAGAACCTGCATTCCTTATCAGCTGCCCCAGGCTGCTAGAGGCCAGGGGGAGGGGAGCGGGGGGAGCAGGCAGAGGAGGAGGCCTGAGAAGCCAGACATGAGTCTCTGCAACATCAAACAAAGTGACGGGCGATTTGCGACTTGTCCGCCGGAGGAGACTGGAGGGGGAAATCCCCCGCGCTTTTGGCACGAAGTTGGGATGGGCTGCGGGGGAGGGAACATCAGAAAGGCTTCAACTGAAGTTTCACCAGGCAGAGCCCCGGGGTGGGGTGGGGCACGGCAGGCCTTACCCCACCCCCGAGAGGGGAAAGGGGATGAAATGCTCCGAGGGGCTGTTGGAGCATGTTGCGGCAGCTGTGCGATGAGCAACCCGAGCAAGGTGGCTTGAGATCCACCCCCCCAATTACCTGGATTAAGGCAGGGGTGTAAACACAAAGAGCATGCATGCCCCACACGCGCACCAGCAGCAGGCTCCCACGCTGCCCAGCACATGCCTGCCTGCAGACACAGCCCCGCCAAGCCCACGAACATGCACTTTCCAAACCCTCCTGCCCAAGGGAGTTGCAGCAAAGTCAGCAGCAGGATGCCCCTTATGTGGGGACCTTTTGTAAGGGTCCAGTGTCAGGCCCCTACACTGTCCTAGCCAAGGGTGGTAAACCCCAGCCAAAATGCAGCAGGGCCCCCCAGCCGCCTGGGCCCAGTGCCGATGCCCTGCTCCGAGTGGAGTCTGTGCATGCACCGCTCAGCTCCATCAGACTCTAGTCTGGCAGCGACGCAAGTTCCACCAAGCCCAGATTTCCGTAAGAGCAGTGCAGCCTGCCCATGGAGTCCTTGCTCTTCCGCCTGCCCCCAGCCTTGCTGACATCGAGGGGCGTTCTCTTCCGCTTCAGCGAGCCCAGGATTTCACCCACTGGGTGCTGTTCTGCTCCCAACTGGCATGCCCGTGCAGCTGTCACTGGGGGCCGAGTGTTTAGCAGCAGACATGCAAAGGCACATGCGTGTTACTACAGACCCAGAGCCACAGGAACTGAGCACCAGCTCACCCAGAAACACTCTCTTGCCTGTGTGCTGGCTGGGGCACATCATGTTGCTGCAGTGCTCCTCCTCCCCCTGGGAGCAGAGGCGATTCTCAAGGCAGTTTCCTGGAAAGCTACGTGCCTGGATCAGACGTGTGAGGCCAAACTTTGTGGGGAGCGGTTGTAGGAAGTCAGGAGACGCATCAATTGCCCTCCTAGGAGTCCCCGGGGTTGCAGTACGCGAAAGGTTAGGCAAGACCAGGCTTTTGGCCTCTGCCTTTCTGACAGTGTGGGAGGAAATGTGTGGGAATTACTCTGCTGAGTGTGTAATCACTTGAGCAGACCCTCCTGCTTGCTAGTCCTGGCCTGCAACGTCCCAGAACAGCTGTCAGGCTCCCACTAGCAGGGATATTTCACACCAGGAGCAAAAAGAAACCTACTTCAAATGCCGGCTCGGGGACCTTAGCTGCCTGAGGCTGACAGCAGAGGGCAAGGAGCCTGGTGGCCACCTCTGGCTGGGCTTTTTTCATTTCCTGGGTTTGAGAGTGAAGGTGGAGATGATACAGAATTTCTTGATGGTAGAGATGGTACCATGAGCAGGAAAGTCCACTGAGGAGACAGCTTGGGACCAGGGGCCACCCAGTTCCTCCTTTTGAGGCGCCACTTACCCCTACTCAGCAGCTGTGGGCAGAGGAAGAAGGTGCCAGGGTTAGGATGAGAAATAGGAAGCTCCCACCCTGACAGCACACCTGCCAGAGCCCCAGCATCCCGACCGTGGGGCCTGTGGGCAACAGCTCTGGGACAAGGCTCTCCCTTCACAGTCAACCTCCCTTGTAGCTTCTGCGTGTCTGGCTCTGGCGCATGCTGCTTTAAAGGGGGGTGCACTGATGGAGCGTCAGGGGTGGGCGTCAGGGAGGCCTGGCTGTCAGCTGCCTTTTGAACTCAGTGGCCGTGTTTCCGTGCAAGTCCCACCTGCGCCACCCGCTCCCCCCTGCTCAGTGCCTTCCTCTTCCCTCACCCACTATACGCCTTCCCCACTCCTGTACCTGCATTAGCGCCTGCCCAGTGCCCTGGGTTCTTGGCAGAAGAGGGCAGATTTCCTGAGTGCCAATCAGCAGAGACCCTGCGGTACTTGTGACAATGGGCGGCTGCACTTTGGCTGTGGGCCTGCCCTTCCCTCCAGCCCCTGGTGGAGCCTGCGCCTGCATTCGTAGGAACTGCAGTTTTCATCTTGTTCCACCAGCGCTTGCCCAGTGGCGTTAACTGGGCCTGAAAATCAGGGCGTAAGTTGGGCATCCAAGCTTGCAGGCCACCTTTGAGATGGGGCTTCAGTGACTTGACTAGGATCACATGGGGAGGCAGTGGCACAGACAAGGGCAGCTCCTGGTGCTCCTGTTTTTCATTGCTCGCACCACTCCCAGCATGGACAGTGGAAGCCAGAAGTCCTGTCCTGCTCGCCCCACCTGTGGTTACTCTCACTAAGAGGTTGCAGTGGTGACACCTCCCACCTTCTGTGTAATAGTGGCCTGGTGGCCCGGGCTCTAGGTCAGTGTAAGCAGGCTTGACCCAACTTAGCATCATTCAGCAACCGCCTCGCCTTGCTCCCCACAGACATCAATGAATGCAGCATCAACCGAGGAGGCTGCAAGTTCGGCTGCATCAACACCCCTGGCAGCTACGAGTGTACCTGTCCCGCTGGCTGCAAGTTGCACTGGAACAAAAAGGACTGCATCGGTAAGTTGGGCCTGGGGCGTGCTGGTGCTGCCATCCAGTGGCTGGACCTAGACTGGCAGGCTATGAGCCACTTGTTTCCATTTATTTGTTGCACGGACTTGAGGAGTCGGTGTCTCTGCCTGGTGGGATTTTGCTGTTTCGGGGGTCAGGGACAGCAGCAGCCCAGAGCCCACTCCTTTCTGTGCACAGAGCTTGCCCATCCCACGCCTGCTCGGAGCACCAGACCAACAGGAGGCACCTCCACTTGGGGCTCCAGAGTGCATGTCTCTGTGTCAGTTCAAGGCCAGGGAAAGGTGCCAACTTAACTGCCCGGGAGGCAGGAGACTGGCCCATCCCCAGCGCTGTACTTTCTGGCAGAGAGAGATGAGGTTCAGGACCCAGGGCCCAGCCTGTGCTCGGCTGCTGTGCCAGGACCCCTGGTGTAGGAACCAACCAGTGTCGGTGGTGGGGCAGGCCTTTGAAGGGGTCTCCAGTCAGGAGGCATTTCCCATTTGCCCCCACACTCATCTCCCAGGGCCACTGCAGTCAGGAGAGGAGAGAACTTGGGGTCAGGCAGGGTGGGATCCTGGATGCTCGCTTAGAAAGTGGAAATAAGGCATAGACCTCTCCTGGTCAGGTTCTGGTTTTTTTTAATACAGTGTCCTTTTTTCCCATGGGAGCCTAAGGCACTTAGCTTAGAGGTGGTCTCCCTGGCCCTCGCATGCAGCCGCCTCTGGGGAGTGGGGCACAGCAGTCATTTGTAACCGCCCATAGGGACATTGATGTGTCCTGTTGGCTCCCCTTTGCTGCCAGTCGAGACATGGGACAGGCACAGATTGAGCACAGCCCCTTCCCAATGAACGGGCGAGTGAGACCCCAGCAGACACCTTCGGATCTTGGTGGTCTGGCAAGTCACAGCCCCAGGGTGGGCCAAGAGTGCATGGGTGTGGGCACCCAGAGGGTCCCACTCATCCTCGCCTCGTGGCACCTGTCCCCAGAGCCTGCTGCAGGAGCAGGTGGTGGAGGCAGAAGGAGAGCTGCTGCCCTGGCGAATGTGGGGTGGGAAAGAGGTTAGTGTGTCCTTTGCCTTGGTGTTGCCCATGGTGGGGCCTGTGCTTGGCTGGCCACCATGGGTCACCCCTGCCTGTCGTTACCAGCCGGTGCTTGTCGTCCTTCAGAGCTGGTGAAGTGCCTGGTGGGCTCTGCCTCCCACCGGGCCACGCTATCTTGCAACAAGAACGGCAAGAAAGACAGCTGCTCCCTCACCTGCACCTCCAAGGCCCGCTTCCTGCCAGGTATGCACTCGCAGCCCTTAGGCCTTGCCCCCTCCAGGATCTGTCTTGGGGGCTCAAGCTTCTCTGGGCAGTTTCCATCATGAAAAACTTTACAGGCTGGGCATGCAGGAATCACCTTGCTCCTTGCTGAGGTGCAGCCAGCTCTGGGGTGGGTCACTGAGGCTGCTATACAGCACAAGAGAGCAGCTGAATGCCCAGGGAGGGCTCAGGGAATTAGGCTGCACAGTGTCTACAGCTTTCTGCCTCTGAGACAGAGCATCATCTGCCCATGTCTGAGAGCCCTGGCTGGGACACTTGGCACCCTCCCACAGGGCTCCCCATCCACTAAACCCCCTGCTCCATAGCAGGGCTGCAGGACTGGCCTGCTTTTACCCAGGCTGTCACGGCTGGGACGTTTGGGATTGGAGGGTGGAGGCTTCAGGCTAGGTCTTGGCCTTTGCAGCTGGCTTGCCTGAACTGTCCCTTTGGTAGCACCTTTGATGAGCACTGCCTGGAGGTTCAGAGACTGACAGCAGATCGAAACCCAGAGCCGTTCAGACACTGAGGTGCTGCCTGCTCTCTGGATACTTGCTGCTACCGCTGAGCTCTGGGGGCAGCGCTGGCCAGGGGTGTCTTTAGGAGCCAGGCTACACAATCCTCCCTTTTTTTTTGCAGAGTCTGACAGCAGCTACACGGTGAGCTGTGGGACGCCCATCCAGCGCCAGGGGGCCCAGCAGCGGCCTGGCAACAGCAGCCATCACTGCGTCGGTAAGCTCGCTCTCCTGGGTCTGTCCAGAGGTCCCCCAGCCACCATCAGGGGAGGCTCAGCCAGTGCCCTGATGTTTAGCACCTGCCTTTTCTTTTAGAGACTGTCGCTGCTCCAATCAAACAAAAGGCTTCCTTCAAGATCAAGGACGCCAAGTGCCACCTGCACCCACGCGCAAAGGGGAAGCAGGATGAGTCAGGGAGGCCTGGGGCGCCAGGTGAGGCTCCCCCTTCCCTTGGGCACCTTGGGGTGTGAGTGTTGGGGGCAGAAGAGGATGGAGCTGGTGGCCGCCACCACCTGCCAGCTGCACAAGCTCTGCTACAGCTGCGGAGGGAGGTGTCTGTTGGGACCCCCTGGCCGAGGGAGCCACGGGGAAGATAATGACCCTCTGTCCCTATCTTCTCAGGTGGGGTGGCCCCCTGCTTGGATTGCCAGGTGACCTTCGTGAACCTCAAGTGCGACTCTTCCAGGAAGGGCAAAGGCCGCCGTGCCCGCAACCCCTCCAACAAGGAAGTGACACGCATCACCCTGGAGTTTGAGGCAGAAATCAAACCAGAGGAGATCACAGGTAGGGAACAGGCCTGCGAGACCCCATTCGCCCAGGGCGCACAGGGCTGGAGGGGATTCCAGATGTGGGGGTGGGACTGGGGCGCTAGGCTTTCCCAGGATGCACTGGGGCCGAACCCAGGGCTATGTAGCAGGATCGGACAGTCCTTGAAGCACATCTGCTCTGTGTGATGTGTCCTTTCCCACCCCCAGGTCCACAGGAAATGACAGATTGCATTGCCTGGGGGTGTTCTGTGGCTTGCTCAGACCACCTCCCTCTGGGCAGGCGTCTGTCTCGCAAACCACTGCCCCAGCCCACACTGACTGGCCCCTCATCAGTGGTCTGTTCAGGAGCTCAGGATTCCCCTGAGCCATGGGATCTGACCCTCTTCCACACCACCGGAGGGGCTCCAGTTAGATGGGGCTCACTGCTGGACTAGGGTGGGGGAGTCCTGCCTACCCCTCCCTGTCCATGCTGCGGCTTTAACTAGTGCTTGCAGAGCCCTTACGGGAGCCGTGATGGGCACAAGAAGGTGGTGGGAGAGGACAGGAAGGGGACTTCACCCGGATACAGAAGAGACAGACGCCCCAGCTGAGCTGCCGGTGGAGCCCGCATCACCTGAAGGCACCACTTGGCTCTATTAGTGCCCTGTGTCCTCTCTCCCACCCGGGCCCAGAGACTGAGGTCAGATCAGCTTCTGAGGCTGGGGCCACAGCCCAAGTGTGTACCTGCTGCCACCACCGAATTGTGTTGGTGACAGGAGGTGATGCTGGAAGGGACAGGGGATGGAGGGGCCCATTCTTCCCCCCCCACCAACACACACATCATGCTAGTGGCTCTAAGGAGGCACCACAGCACAGCAGCCCATGAGGGGAGGCTAGGAGAGGGACCTGCTTTCCCTCTCCTCCACTCATTCCCACCCTCCCCACTTAACCGTGTGATCCCTGGCCCTCTCCCCCCTAGCCAGCTGCAACATAAACTGCCTGCGGCAGCGGGTGGAGAAAAAGCTGAAGTCGGCGATCAAGGCCCTGAAGAAGTCCATCAACCAGGAGCGGTTCCTGATCCGCTTTGCGGGCATGGAGTACGAGGTGGCCCAGAAGCTGAGCATGGCCCTGGAGAGGCAGGAGAGCTGCGGGCCTGGGCAGCAGAGGGTGGGGTCCAAGTGTGGTAAGAAAACAGCCAGGTTGCATCTGAGAGGCTGGCAGGGGCCTGGGGCCAAGTGAGCATTCAGTGGTGAGCCCCAAGTGCTGCATTGCAGCAACCAGGCTCCTCTGCTTCAGCTGAGGTGGCAGGGGAGGTGACCACTACTGTCTGCCTCGGGAGCTGTTTCTTTGTCACAATTAGGGGCCTGGGACCCTGTGGGCCCTTGGGACCTGCAGCCAGAGCCAGGGGTAGCCTGATGGGGAGCTGGTGTCTGCAGGTCACTAATGCGTCTGTCTCTCTCAGTTAGCTGCTCGCAGGGAACGTATTACCATGGCCAGATGGAGCAGTGTGTCCCCTGCCCTCCTGGGACCTACCAGGAGAAGGAAGGCCAGCTCTCTTGTGACCACTGCCCTAGAGGCGATGCTTACGGCCCAGCTGGAGCAACCAACGTAACCAGCTGTGCAGGTACAGTGCAGCACCAGCATGATGTTGTTTCCTCTCCTCGGGGCACCGTACAACCGGGGGCTCACAGGGAGTCTCGGAGCCTCGGCAACGACTGCAGCTTCCATTCGGCTCTGGAGAGACACCACGGAGACCTCCTGTGTATCGCAGCCACCCAGCACAGCCAGCTCTTGCAGACAGGTGTGAGGTGGACAAGTCGCTGCTCTCCCAAGCTGAAGGGTTACCAGACCAGAGCCGACTGCAGATAGGCCCTTTGTGCTCTGCCTTGAGTCTCTGTTCAAAGCAGGACAGGAGAGAGGGAGACATGGGAGTGCAGTGCCAAGGGACCTACCCTCCCCCTTTCCCCAGTCTGCTTGAGGATACCGTGCTGAGTTGTACCTACGGCAGGAACTTTTGAGTCAAATGGGGCTGGGGCTGTAAGAGCAAAACTGTGGACTTGGGGGAGGAGTTGCTTCTCAGTGCTGTTTTATCAGAACTCCCAGAGTTCAAGGGAAAGACGGCAGAGCGGTGTTTGCTCTGAGTCTGTGCAGCACCTAGCACAGTGGGGGCCTGGGACATGACTGAGGCTGTGAACCAGAGCCACAGTACAGATATGACTTGGATAAATGGTTTCTCTTCTTCAGCGGTCACTGTGTAGCCCTATTGCAGTACAGTTTCCCAGGGAACTGCCAGGTCCCTGCCAGGGATCAGTGGGCCATGGGGCTGTCCTTCCATCAGGAGGATCCCAGAGCTCACTGGGGCTTTCAGGCCCTGGCTCTGTTCAGCAGGAGTTGAGAAGGAGCAGAAGCTGAGCAGGACTGACCCCTTTTCCCTTTGTTTCCTGCATGGACCTTAGGTCAGTGTCTCCCTGGGCAGCACTCAGTGGATGGCTTCAAACCCTGCCAGCCATGTCCCCGGGGTTCCTACCAGCCCGAAGTGGGGCGGGCTCTGTGCTTCTCCTGCGGTGGGGGCCTGACCACTAAGCATGAGGGTGCCTTCTCCTTCCAGGACTGCGACACCAAAGGTATGTCTTAGCCAGCAGCTCCTTCTGCACCTGGGGGAGCCTCAAGAGGGAAGGAAACCAGGAGAGAAGGGGGTGGGGGGGAGCCCTGGGTGCCTGGGCAGTGCAATGGGCAGGTGTCTAGGACTGAGCCTGGTCCACTGTTGCTGTATCCCTGGACTGGATCGGTGGCTCCTCAGCTCTCAGCCCTGTTGGTGCTTGGGGGAGGCAAACCCCAGCCTCACTTCTTGCCCAGCTTCTCTCCACATCTTGGCCCTGCTTTCATCTCCGTCACACTCTTCCCAAACCTGTCTGCAGCTTTTGCCACTTCCAGTCTCCCTCTTCATATCACCCACCCCTTCTCCTTCTCCCCCCTCTGCCTTTCACAACAGCGCTTGGTATTGATCCACCTCCTGATGCCATGTGAACTGCTCCCTTGTGCAGGGCCAGACTGTAACATCTTTGAGAGGCTCCACATCTGTCACCGCCCTGCTCAGTAACTTCAGAAATTCACCAGCCTGGGCACAAAATCTGTCTGTCCAGGGTACGGTGCTGAGGCTAATGAGAGTCGACTGCAGACACGGTATTTGCCAGGCTTCCATGAAGTTGTGTAGCTACATTGCTACCCCTTAGAGAGCCCTCAGGCAGGAGCCTGGAAGGAGCCTGCAGTGTTGGTGGTCTGAAGCTGCATAGGCCCTGGGGCCATTGCTGTGTTTATTAGGGTGAATAACAACAGTATGGAATAGCTGGGTGATTTCAGCCTGTATGACAAGGGACCGTGGCTGGCAGAACCGTGCAGCTATTCATGACTCTGTTGATGCTGTTTCTGTGCACCATGGTGATGAGGGAGGTCAGTTCCAAGTCCAGAGTTTGGCACGTTTTGCGGTCTGGAGACAGACAGAGAAGAGCTACTTCAAAGAAAAGTCACACTGCAGTCTGCACGGCAGCACAGAACGAGCCTAGGGGATATCGGCATCAAAGGGATTGCTCTTCCCCTTGCCCCTTCAAGGGTGACCAGCTGTGAGCTGAGAAACAAGACCCTGGGGGGGGGGGGGGGGGGGG